ATGAAAAGGTCCTTGAGCCAAATGATTTGAGATTGTAGCTCGGGACAGCAAGTAACAGTTGTTGTGATGAGCGCAGAGTTCTTTCTGGAGTGTAATGTGTCAGTAAGTCTTGAAGGTAGGAAGGTCCTGAGTTGTAGAAAGACTGATAGGTGAGGCAGAGAATCTTGAAATCAATCCTTTCACGAATACGGAGCCAGTGTAGAGAGTTTAGAATGGGAGAGATGTGACAGCGAGTACTGGTGAGAGTGATGATGCGTGCAGCTTTGTTCTGGATTTTCTGAAGACGATGGAGTTGAGACTCCGTTTCTTGTACATTTGGAGGCGGTGGGGTAGCCTAGTGGTTATTAAGCGTCCGCTTATATGGGTACAATGTGTGAAGCCATTTTCCGGTGTCCCCCGCCGTGATATTGCTGAAATATTGCTAAGAGCGGCGAAACACCATGCTCACTCACTCTTGTATTGTTGAATAGCAATTGGATGCTGGAAATGTATCAGTTAAACATAATGGTATGGATAAAGGAATGTTTGATTGTTGGTTGTGTAACGCCTCACTCAGCAATATTCCAGCTATATCTGGAAGTAATCGGGTCTGGACCAGACAATCCAGTGAGTAACAGCAAGGCCATCAATCTACGCCACTGGCATACGATGACATGTGTCAACCAAGTCAGCGAGCCTAACCACCCGATCCTGTTAGTCGCCTCTTACGACCCGGTTCTTCACGGGTGGTAGCAAAGCACCCACTTGCTGGTGATCTATAGCCCGTTTTATATTGTATGTCTCTCTTTAATGAAATATATTTTATGATGACATGCTAGTTTAAATTTATATCGGTGATATTCTGTTAAATTGAAACTTACCAGATTTGAAAATGTAGTATTTTTGTTCTTTTAAAGTTTGGCTAAATATTTCCTACAATCGCCAGCGGCTGAAGGGATGGTGTAAATCCAACTAGGGTCTATGCAGGTAGTAAAGGCACTGTAAGTCCCCATGGCGACCTTTAGCCATCTTTTATATCGTATTGTCCTGGGTGGCTGAAAACCAATTCAAAACCCGTTTGACCATACTGACATAATGAGCATGGAAAGTTCCATTAACTAGCAAATGATTTGAAAATGCCAACGAGAAAATACATGGTGTTTCGCTAATTATGAAGAGAACTTTCTTGAATACCATTAATATACCCACCATTGCATTTGGATATTTCTACATTGTGTTCGGCGTCTTTCAATATCTTTCCTGCATCTAAAGTTTGGATGAAACTTTCCCTGTGGAAAGCTGGTGAATAATAGGGGGTTCGTATATTTATGGGGTGCTTCCCGCGGAACATTGGATGTATTATTATGTATGTGCCGCTATGAATAAATATAACCACCAATACTTCATGATCCTCTGCTCTGTCGATGCTCATGATGTTGGTCACTGGATTGTCCGGTCCAGATTCGATGATTTCCAGACAGACGCCTTATAGCTGGAATATTGCTGAGTGCGGCGTTAAACAACAAACCAACCCACCAATGTATACGTCATACTGATCACATGTCACCAGCACAAGCTGTGTGTTTGTGAAATGGTTAACATGCAGTAAGAGTAACCTAACTTGGCACTTTCGTGGCTTCCGACTTCTCTTTGTAAGATATCTCCCCTATTGACGACCCGTCACGATCCTGTTGAAAACTGGATTGTCTGGTCCAGATTCGATTATTTACAGACCGCCACCATATAGCTGGAATGCTGCTGAATACATCGTTAAACGAGCATGTGTGCTTGTGCAATACCTTACAGGCAGTGACAGTAACCTATCTTGGCACTTTCTTGGCTTCCGACTTCTGTTTGTCATGAATCTCTCTATTTACGCTGTAAAAAGCACTGTCTTTATATATATTTGTGCGACAGATATCGAGTGACGCTGACCTACCCTGGCACTTCTGGAAGCTGATTTGTCACACCATCGTTAAGTGGGTCAAATCGAGACCTTATGATTGAACAAACTAACAAAGCAGCGCTGACCGAATTTTGTTGTCAACGCTTCCGCTATTATATCCAGCATCATTGTGTTGATTTTCCAGGGATGGTCTCAATAACACTACAGACAGTATATTTCGGGTCACACACCCCATTTACCAGGGATGGTCTCAACAACTTCATAGAGAATATATATCTGGACCCAGACCCAAACCTCTCTTCCTTGACACAACTGACTTCGTTACCGAATTAGTCACACTACTCACAATAAAATACATTTAATTTTATAATGTTTGTATCCGAGTCACATTTATGATGAAATGTAACGAATCGCTTTATCAACACTTGTACATTATTAAGAATGCATGTTTATATATATATAACGAGAATTTGTCTGTCATTTTTGTTCTAACCTCCAACTGCGACACTGGTCCGACGCTTGATTAATTTTCTTGTGGTGGAAACATTGTAAAACATTGTAAGACATTGTAAAAGAACACATTCAAGACTACTGTACCATTTTAACTGTTATTTGTTGAAATATATCTTAAAAATGCATATATGGGGCACCAAACCTCATCTAAAACAGATAGAAACGTATATCCCAAATAGCATTGTCTCCCTGATGACTCAATGCAAGAAAAGAAGCATCCACTCTTGCACTAGGGGCTACAGCCGTAATGCACTTTTGTTTGTGGACACGGCCGTCCAAGTCATCGATGGATGAGTAGTTGCGTCCTATGATCACGCCAGAAACCTTTGATAGGAAGTTCGTGATCTCCGTAATTATTTCTAAAAGTGTCAACACCATGGCCGTGCTCGTGGTTCATCAACGAATTCACCAGTTCAGCCAATCCTCCTGCATTAAGCTGAGTAACAGTGGTAAAACTGGAATACGGGCCACAACTCATTCACTCACTCATTCAGTCAGTCACACATTTGTTTCACATTTTAACTCTAATGATGTGCTTAGCATATGGGAATGGAGAACGGCATTCAGAATCGTCATGACTCAAATTTTTCTTTCAAAGCATTGGAAATAGATCTTGCAATGTTACATTTTTTTCAAATGCGTCTCTGAAATAAGAATACGGCATACAAACAGTCGTAATGAGAGATTTTTTATGGCTATATGCTCACATTAAGAGTGTCATATATGTAATAGATCCTTGAAAACATGTTTTGTGTCATATATGGCTTCAAAAATAGATATGAAACACACCCAAATTCCTTCTTCACGCATATTACACAGTATTAGATACATCGGATGCATGCAGAATGTCAATATTTCACGAATTAGGAGTTGAACGTTCTTGGGGTTTTTGTCTTGTCGCTGCTGCTGTCTGAAAGGGGCTGTGGGTAGCCTAATAGTCAAAGCGCCCCCTTCGGGCTCAGGGAACATAAACAAACATCGAGGGTACATCAACCCATGCCCCCTCGTGACCAGTGAACAATGTATTTATCTTACCGAACACCATAATGTTAATTCTGAATTGTTTGTAAGCGGGGTACATTGAAAATAATAGAAGAGCGCTCAGCCAATGAGAAAGCGACATTTATGTGTGAGGTAAGATAATATAAAAGGTACACTACTACTATTGCTGCTAACGGGTATAGACCACGGTCATCATGAGCTGTGTCAAGTTTGGGCATAGAGTCAACTTACTGGGGTTTGGGTGTTTTGGGTTGTGTTTTTTTTGTTGTTGCTGTTGTTGTTGTTGCTGCTGCTTTCTGAAAGGGGTGATGGGGTAGTCTCATGGTTAAAGCGTCCGCTCGTCACGCTGAAGACCTGGGTTCGATTCCCCACATGGGTACAATTTGTGGAACCGTTTTCTTGTGTTCCGCGCCATGATATTGCTGACATATTGCTAAAGGCGGCCTAATATCGTAATCACTCATTCACTATGAAATTCACACATTTTCGTACAACATAGCGGCACTAGTGTCTACATCGGAACGCTGATATTAAGCATCTCCCTGTGTATCAAAACTTTTGTTAATAAAATATCAGTACATACTAGTACATATCAATACATTTCAGCTTTTAGTATACCAGCATGTAACGACGTAAAGGATTCGGAGCTATTTCTTGCCCTGTACCCAATGAAGAGACAAGCAGCAGCTCTGAAACGTCGTTTTACGAAAAATGACAAAAGTTGTTACCCATAAGCGTCTCCTGATCAACTTCTAAATGTCAACCAGTCTACAGTCAGTTGCCATGTTAAAACCAGTATTGAGTGAGTGAGTGAGTGAGTTAAGATTTATAGCCACATCGGCAATATTTCAGCCATATCCTGACTTTAAAAACTTATGAATTCATAATAAACGCAATTATGTAAAACCTGTCAACAGCGGACAGTAAAATAGCTAGTTTATCACAGATAGAGAGTTAAAACTAGCATGTAACTGTAAAGTTAAACAAATTTTTATGGACAATACAATATAAAAAACGGGCTGGACCTGTAATGAACATCATTCTGTCTCCAATTCCATCTGAATTTATAAAAGGTTGCAACAATCAACGGACAATAAGGTGAAGAAAAACATGTTTATGTTCATGTCATTTCACCATAAAAAGACGACTGACTGAGATGAGTGAATATTATATTGTATATTATCAAATATAGATTACTATTACTGCTAACAGATATAGTTCATGGTCATGAGCTGAATCACTAAATTTGAACCTAATGTCACCATGACCTGAGTGTATTGTCCGCTTGGGGATAACATTCTGCTTGACCTGGGTGTGTTTCAAGTCGGGCAGCCTTACCAACATGACCTGAATGTAGTTTCAGGGTTATTGTTAACATGACCTGAGTGTGATTTTCACTTGGCAACTAATGTCAATATTTACCCGAGTGTATTACGGACATTTGCTGATTTGGCTCAAATGCATCACCCAGCGGTGGACTAATGTCAGCATGAACTACATTTATCACCCAATAGAGTTGTGGGTCATCCAGATACTTTCAATGGTTTAACTCTGGCTTATTATTAAAATCTGTGGAGACATGACGACACTCAGATTTACGTCAGTGGAAATACCTTACAGGTGTTTTACTGTATTGATTTATTGGAGAATTGGTTTCCCGTATCCACCATTGCATATTGTGTACATCTTGATACTGTAGCTTTTCAAAAAAGCAATTCAGCGCTGAGGACCATATACAAATTAGACTTGCAATATTATTATGTTTTTATGGTCTTGTGGCGAAAGTACCACCCACCTTTACCTCCAAGCAGCTCAGAATCATAATGTATGCTGCTGTTACGTAGTCGGTCTGGAAACACTGTTTTCAAAACATTAATAACCTTTGTCTCAATAGTATGGACATATTTCCTAGGAGTAAATCCATCTCGTACAGAACGGACAAGCGTCACCACACCCAGGTTTAATGACGGGGACAGGATTGTTTGAAGTTGGTTGGTGGTCTGGTCGATGTCCTCATCATCAACGTTATGGCTTTCAGGTATCCGGGCCCCCTTTTTGTTTCCCAGGCATACCACCATGCCATTATTTCGGCTGAAGGATGGACTCCTTGGGGATTGGTCCATACACACGCCTACAGATGTGAGCTCCTTTAACTGACGACCACTGAGATAGACTAGATGACCGATTAGACGATCAAGCATGAACTGGGTAGATTCTTTTGGCATGCACATAAAGGGTTTAGCTTTTTCAAGTATATCGTAGACACTACCGATAACCGCATTCTTCATGGCAAGATGGTTAGAGCATTTGCTGTTGCCCTCAGCTGCGTCATCATTGCAAGGTGTGGTGTGTTCGAATGTGATCTTTAACAGGTTATGGAAGAATTTATCGGCCATCATTTCATCGTGGGCATTGTCTACACACATTAGCTTCCCAACACAGGCTGATATGTCGTACATCTGGGCCTGACTCATGCCAGCATCATACAGAGGAGACGATGCATCTTCACGGGCGTAGTAGTCTTCATCAATGTCAAGGACGACGCTTTCACTAGCCGAAATCCAGTTACCGGACGTGGCCAGTTCTATAGCCTTATCTGTACTTACAAACTCCACAGTTCCACTAAGAGACATGTCTAAACATGCGACTTCCTGTATTTCAAAATATTCCTCTCGACCATCTCGGTGAGTATCGATCCAGACACACATGTTGTGTACCTTCAGCTGTTCAGATTCCGCGCAAGCGCAAAGCACCAGTTCATCAAGACCGCCAGCCACCTGTCTGTACATGACCCCAGCTCTCAGACGTACAGACACATATGCTTGATACCTTCCAGACTCATATGGTGGCCACACCCAGATGAAACGGTTGATTAATCCTGTTGCTGCAGCCATCTGGCAAAATATTGATTTCTTTTAGAATGTTTTTGGGAAAGGTTATGTTATTACATATATAGTCGTCTACCGATTGACCCAAACCAATAGCACTGTGGTATAACTGACATTTGAACGAGTGAGTGAGTGAGTGAGTGTGTGAGTGAGGGAGCGAGTAAAAATGCATAGTAATGTATTGCCAATATTTCATATCGTGCCATATCGTGACTTAAAAGTTATAAATTCATAATAAACGCAATTAAATTATTTAAAAAACTCGTCGACAAAGGACAGTAAAACCAACTGACATTTGAGATAGAGTAAACTGGGATTATAACGAACTTTTTTTTTCTTTTTCTTTTCTTTTATTAGCACAGGGACAGATGTTACATATCCGATACATAAGAACATATATATAGCGAGATGTTACACTGCTACTATGTGAATACAAATATATCCGGGTTCGAATCCCCACATGGGTACAATGTGTGAAGCCCATTTCTGGCGTTCCCCGCCGTGATGTTGCTGGAATATTGCTAAAAGCGGCGTAAAACCAAACTCAGTCAGTCAGTCAAATATATCCATTTCACATAGAGATAAAGATATTATCCACGGATGTGAACGTAACATCCTCGGAAATGTACAGCATTTGCTTTACATACTATATTGAAAAATTAGGGCAAATATAGGATACGTACTAGAAGAGAAAGTGTGGAAATAGGGAGAGAAAGACAGGAGAGGGGGAAAGAGTAGATGGGGATGGAGGGGAGAAGACGGGGGAGGGGCGTGTTGGTGGCTGCGAGTTTACGCTGTGAGTTTCGACATCAATGTTGACCATTTATTTTTTAGTGTGGTATTGGCAGGGCCGTAAATAGATTTTTCAATGTTATAAATTTGCTTGATATTTTTTAACAAACCTTGGAAATGCAAATTTGTTTCTTTATGTTTACACGTATAAATATACATTTTCAGAATGTTATACAAATAGTTTAACAGAAGGCTTTGATTGGGGTCTCCAAGTAAGATAATTGATTTTATAACGAACTCACAGATATACCGTGCCGATGTTATGGTCCCGCCTACTTGTGAATTTTGACCGAAATGCGTATAATGTTCTTTGGTTAAAACGAACTAAATCTAACGGTCCCCTAAGTTTGGTATAACTGTTTAGTTTACTGTAGATGGAAGCAGTGATATAGCTGAGATAAACAAAAATTAAGTCATTCACTCAGTAAGTCTTTCCTTAAGATGAACATTCATGCTGTGAATTGACTTGCGGAAAGGTAGCCTTGTGGTTAACGGGTCCGATTGTCACGCTAAAGACCCGGGTTCGATTCTCCATATGGGTACAATGTGTGAAGCACATTTCTGGAGTCCCCCGCCCTGATATTCCTGGAATATTGCTAAAAGCGGCGTAATAACCATATTCACTCACTCACACATCCTTTTGTAGAAGGCTAATATAAAGTTCAGAACGGAAAAGAACTTTGTTACACTCAGGCCGATATCCTCGGCATATGATTTACAAATGTTAGCCAGTAACTTTACAATTTGCATATTATATTTACAGACCTTACTGAGTTTTTTCATAACAGATATCTTTTAACATGTAAAGGGTGATTTAAATGTTCATATATATGGTCTTTTATAAGGCTTGTATATACAATATGTTCGCATGAGAACAATGGGGGTAGCCCATTAATGGCGTCCCGCGACGTGATATTGCTGGAATATCGCTTAAAGCCACACGCGTGGAACTAAACTCATTATCTCACCCCTATCATTCACCGACTCAATACATCTAACTAACATTAGCAATAAAATGTGTTAATTACATGAACAAAGGCATTTGTCTTCTCCATCATCTGGTTCAACTCCATCCGGCTTTTAGGTAACTGGAAGAGAGGCAGCTTCCTCCACTGTCTGGGGTTGGCCGCCTCACTGTGGGCATCTATGTGAAGCTACAGAAGAGAAAGTCAGCCCATTAGCAAGTATTGTGTATCTGGGCACCGTTCCACAAAGCGACCGTAAACCTAAGGTGATCGTAACTCCCATACTTTAAGATAGACGTAGCACTACGATCGCTTTGTGGAACAGGACCCTGTTCTTCAGATTGTAAGCGATTGGCAAAGACTGAATAAGATACCTTTTTATGGCATTGTTTGCTAACGATGAATTATTCATCGTAAGAATTATTCATCATTCAGCAAAGAAGTTGATGTCTAAATCATGACATGTTCTACCTGTAAATCCTAAGATGGAAATTGATATTTTCTAACGACTGAATGTTGTGTCGGTTGATTGGATGGTTTTCTTACACACTCAGCAATATTCCAGCTAAACGGCATCGGTCTGTAAATAATCGAGTCTGGACCAGTCAAGTCAGTGATCAACAGCATGAGCATCGACCTACTGAGAGGTGAAGATACGTGTCAACCAGGTCAGCGAGCCTGACCACCTGATCGCCTCTTACGACAAACATGGCTTGCTGAACAGCAATCCTAACACGGACCTTCACGGGTCGCAAAGGTCGATATTACATTGTTCACGAAAACGTTTGTTGTTTCTGAAATGTCCGTAATTTCGGGTATGTTCAAAGAGGCACATTTAAGTGTCTCAAGGCAAGATAATGAATCTGAAATACTTGACTAGGATTCTTTTGTGAACAGTTTTGGATCCAGTGGCACTGGTAATTTAACCATCATCCTTAGATCTGTCTGCAAAATTGATTTATATTGTCATTCTGTTGTTACACATTTGTGTCAATGTGGTAACTCATCGTATGAATATTCTGCCTGAACTATACAAACTGCGAACACAGTATTTTCAGGTTACCAGCTGCCGTCTTTCAATCTATTGTATCCCCAGTTATTTGTTCGTGTCCATATTTCACGGTGTGCAAAATTTCCGGTAATTTTTCGACCATTATTTTAAACTAAGTGTTTTAGTAACGTTAAATTTCCATTTCCGATTTGTCAAACAAAACAAAACAAACCCAAAAAAGTAAACATAAAAACAAACCCTGCTTATCCCCTTCCCCGCGTGTTTCAGATTATGGGATTTTAGAACGATTGGGACAGACGTTGCCGACGGGATCAATGGTGTCAGCGCGTGTTGTTTGACACACAGTAAATTCCAGCGGACAGAAACCAAGAGACATTTGGTGAACACTTGCAGAATACTAAGATTATCTGAATACTAATGAATATTTTATCATAAAAACTGTTATCTGTGGCGTCCAATATCGCTTTGTACGACGTTTATCTTTCCTTATAAAAAAGATCATTAACTGGAAGATTCTGGCATTTTGGATTCCTTTGAATATTGATGAAAGCATCGTAGAAACATAAGTGAAAATATTATATCATAATATATGTGCACATTTGTACATGTACACTCACTCACTCACTCACTCACTCACTCACTCGCTTACTCCCTAAGATATTTTTAAAATGAAGAAAGTCTGTGGGCGAATGATATGTTCATTTCAGAGTCGTAATAGTCTCTCTCGTGTGTGCGCTCGCGTGTGTGCGTGCTTGTGCGCATGTGTGGCCGGGCGGGCGTATGTGAATGTGTGTTCATGGTTTGGGGAAATATACAATATTCTACTAACAGTGAGTGAGTGAGTTTAGGTTTACGCCGCACTCAGCATTATTCCAGCTATATGGCGGCCTCTGCTAACAGGGTGGTGTTGTACTATGTTTGAAAGTGCCTCACATATTGTACACCACCACGCTGTTAGTAGGGACCACACTTCCACACGTACACGTCTTAAATCATTGCGAAGTGAAGTATGTCTTTGTGTGATACGAGGAAGAGGATACTACCAGAGTGTTCCCTTGTCTCTTGATGGTCCCTTTCGCTGCAGCCGAAAACCAGTACATCAGTGCTACAAACATAGTACAGAGTAAATAAATCAGTGCTGGTATTATGATACAGGACATCCGCCATACGGTTACAACACATAAGGAGTATATACACCGTCACAGCTACAATACACATGCTGAATATATCAGTGTTGCATCACACACATACAGGGGATAGTGCTGGCATGCAAACAACAGAGCTACAACAGACACAGGTATAGTTTGGCATGAAATGCATGTGGACCCGTTTTTTTGTAAATATCTCTTCACCCAATGACCCAATCGATCTCAAACTGTTCAAGTGGATGTTTTGTCAGACAACCTAATCACATTGTAAATCACCGATTTTATGCATTTGTATTAAAGAATCTGTCTATGTAACTGTCAACAAAATAAACAGCAGAACGCAGACTGCTGGCAGAGGGAGGGAGCCAATGACCTGTAACAGCGGCAGAGTTGGGTCATAAAGGTAAATGCAAGTGCAGTTCATGATAGTTACCTGTGCACTGCACAGTGATAGACCGTTTGGATCATTCACATTGACTACTTCTAGCTGTCATCATGAAAGCTTATTCAGATGATGCTAAACGTTTAATTAGAAATGTGTTGAATTTTTTTAAAAAGAGAGCAAACGTAGCAAACCGATTTATAAGGTGTCGGATTACATGAAACGTACAACTTTTGCTCTTGGCATGAAAAAGAACATCGTGCTAACAATTGTGAAAAATAAACCAACAACCAATTAACAAAACCTTGTACAAAAAGGTAGGCATCCAAAGTTAGATTCTTTTGACATCAGGGTCTTCAGAGATGTCATCCGCCGGCTATTTGCTAGAAATGAACACCTGTCCACAAGAAAGTTAAAACACATCCTTGCAGAGGATCACGGCATTAATGTTTCTAGGTTTATGCTAAGCAAACTACTGCTCAAATTTGGATACAAGTACAAGAAGGTAGCAAACCAGAAACTTGTAATGTGTGAGAGATCTGATATTGTGAAAATAAGGTGTAACTATCTGAGAGAAATTAAGCAGGCAAGAGAGGATGGGTTCGAACCCATATATCTGGATGAGACCTGGGTCAATGCAAACCGTACTGCTGCCAGACAGTGGCTACCCACTGATCCTAGTGATGGTAGGAAAATACCAACAGGCAAAGGTGAACGTTTAATCGTTCTTCATGCTGGTTCCCACGGTGGATTCCTACCTGGGTTTGATCTGGTATTTCGGTCAAAGAGCACAGACGGTAGGGACTATCATACAGAAATGAACTCAACGGTTTTCACACACTATGTTGAGGAACAATTGTTGCCTGCTCTGCCTTACAGTCTTGTCGTTATGGACAATGCTCCCTATCACAGTGTTCGAGATCCAAACAATAGGTGCTCAACTTCCAATACAAAGAAGTCAGATATGCAGCAACGGCTAACAAATAACAATATACAATTTTCAATTAAGGCCACTAAACCACAGTTGTACACTTTGATTAAACCTAACAAACTTCCACCCACATATAACATTGACAACACGCTACGCCAACACGGCCATAAGGTCTTGAGATTACCACCTTACCACTGTGATCTCAACCCAATCGAACTTATCTGGGGAGACCTTAAAAGTACAGTGGCCCGAAAAAATCAATCATTCAAGTTGAATGATGTCAAGCACATTGTCAACACTGCTATATGTGACATTGACATTGCACGCTGGCATGTATGTGTTGAACATGTCAAGAAGGTGGAGAAAGAGTACTGGCTCAAAGATGGCTTGCAGGAGCAAACAGTTAATCCAGTTGTCATTCGTCTGGACACTGATGACTCCTCTGTAGAAGAATGGAGTGAACTTGATGAAGTTTAATTCTGTTATTATATTTACAGATAATAATAGTATCCAGCCAGATATGCTCAAAGAAATATAACTTCTTTTAACAATGACAGCACTGACTAATTCCAACGACTTATAGTGTAACATGAAACACTCATTTCACATAAAATTATCATGAAAATATAAATATTAACTATCTATATGCTTAAAGCTATTAGAAATGCATTGCTTAATTTGGAATGTGAACGACATCAAAACATAACACTTCTTTCATTCTATCTTTTCTTCAATGAGTGTGCATGATTGTGTGTGCTTGTGTCCGAGGGAACGGGGCTTTAACAGTTGTTGAGTTCTAACCATAGGTGGTCCGATTAATGATTTAGTGTAAATATACTTTCTGTGTTCTTTAAATGCATTTCCACTTAGGTACTGCATAAACAAAATATGACATTAACATTACAAATTTAAAGATTTTAACCTACAGAATAATTCTCACTAATGGGTTTTGTGGTTAATGTTGAAACAGAGAAACAAACTCCGTATGATGGTTAACAGTTGGCACCCACCTTACCCTATTCACGACCTGTGACACCTCTTCATACCTGTCACGTGCATAGCTGACCTACATTGACGAACGTTGACCTTTATGATCCAACGCCGCCGCTGTTACAGGTCATTGGCTCCCTCCCTCTGCCAGCAGTCTGCGTTCTGCTGTTTATTTTGTTGACAGTTACATAGACAGATTCTTTAATACAAATGCATGAAATCGGTGATTTACAATGTGATTAGGTTGTCTGACAAAACATCCACTTGAACAGTTTGAGATCGATTGGGTCATTGGGTGAAGAGATATTTACAAAAAAACGGGTCCACATGCATTTCATGCCACACTATAGTGGATAAGTTCTGGAACACACACACACACACACACACACACACACACAGAGATAGAATACAACATCGTCTCCTCAATACCGCCTAAACGCTGTAATATCGTTTCATCCGTCCCCATCAGAATGCTGCAATAGTGTCTGACCTGGTGTTATTGCAGCATTCTGATGGTGCAGATGAAACGATATTGCAACATTCTGATGGTCTGGATGAAACACCTGATCAGACACCATTGTTCCCTACAGATACACCTCTGCAAGATCAACGTAAATTGTAATAATTGCAGTAAATTGTGATGAACCTCGTAACACACTGCAATATCGTTTCATCCGCCCCCATCAGAACGCTGCAATATCGTTTCACTCGCCCCCATCAGAACGCTGCAATATCGTTTCACCCATCATAATCAGAAGGCTGCAATATCGTTTCACCCGCCCCCATCAGAACGCTGTAATATCGTTTCACCCGCCCCCATCAGAACGCTGTAATATCGTTTCACCCGCCCCCATCAGAACGCTGCAATATTGTTTCACCTGCCCCCACCAGAACGCTGCAATATCGTTTCACCCGACCCCATCAGAACGCTGCAATATCGTTTCACCCACCCCCATCAGAACGCTGCAATATCGTTTCACCCACCCCCATCAGAACGCTGCAATATCGTTTCTCCCGCCCCCATCAGAACGCTGTAATATCGTTTCACCTGACCCCATCAGAACGCTGCAATATCGTTTCACCCGCCCCCATCAGAACGCTGAAATATCGTTTTACCCGCCCCCATCAGAACGCTGCAATATCATTGCATCCACCCCATCAGAACGCTGCAATAAAGTTTCACCCGCCCCATCAGAACGCTGCAATAAAGTTTCACCCGCCCCCATCAGAACGCTGCAATATCGTTTCACCCGCCCCCATCAGAACGCTGCAATATCGTTTCACCCGCCCCCATCAGAACGCTGCAATAAAGTTTCACCTGCCCCCATCAGAACGCTGCATTAAAGTTTCACCTGCCCCCATCAGAACGCTGCAATATCGACGACCATCTGATCATTTCATCTTAGCCTCCTACCCTCATGGTGTTCCTCTATGACGTTCACGATTCCGGATTCTGGCAGTATCAGAGAGTTCTCGGTGTTGGGCTTTTCATCCCCTTCCGCCCAAGTCTTCATTTCCGCCCCAGTCTTCATGCCCGCCCAAGTCTTCATTTCCGCCCCAGTCTTCATGCCCGCCCAAGTCTTCATGCCCGCCCCAGTCTTCATGCCCGCCCAAGTCTTCATGCCCGCCCAAGTCTTCTCTTCCACCAGATGTAAATACGTCTTATTAAGCTTCAAGAGCAACAGCACCACGGCAACACACAGCAGCGTGGTGACCGCGGTTTTCAGGCTAAAGGCCCTCATGATCTCTGGATGGATAGACTGCTGCACGTCTTTTGACACAAGAAAAAATAGTGAGTGAGTGAGTGAGTGAGTGAAACTTTATAGTCCAATCGGCGGTATTTTAGCCATATCGTGACTATGAAATCTTTGTATTAATGTAAACTAACTTTAACGATAAAACGATAGTACATGACACATTGTAGAAACGGGCTATAGATCGGAAGCAACTGAAGGCAGGTCACCACACCAGGGACCTTGGGATCTTACAGTACCTTTGCTATCTACATCATCCCTTCAGATGTTGGCGATTATTGAGAAATTTAGCCGAACATTAAAATAACACATATTCTACTATTAAAACGATGATAAACATAACAATATTTTGTTAGAAATGCAGTGAGTGAGTGCGTTTAGTTTTACGCCGCCTTTTAAATATTCCAGCAATATCACCGCGGGGGGACACCAGGAATGGGCTTCACACATTGTTCCCATGTTTGAAATGGAACTTACGTACCCTCCCATGGGGACAATAATGAAACACTATATAGCTGACAAAAGTAGGAAGACAAGTGAGGTGAGGTGAGGTGAAATTGGGTTTAATGTCGTGCTTGAGAATATTTCGCCCATACGACGACGTGCATGCGTGTGTATGTGTATGTGTGGCTGCTTGTACTAGCCCAGACTTCAGCTGGTTTTATAGTGCTAGCCCACTGAGATACCATGCCGCAGTGAAGCATGAATACCCCACTCAGACACATTATACTGACTCCGAGCCGACCAGTCCTTGTTGTACCCATTAATGCCGAGCGCCAGGCAGGGACCAACCAGTACCATATTTTAACGTCTTTTGGTATGACGCGGTCGGGGATCGAACCCGCGACCTTCCGCTCTCCGGGCGGACGCTCTAACCACTACACCTCGGAGGCGGTAGGAAGACATGTACCATGATGTACATAATCTGTATACATTGTATCTTTAACGCATGACTGTTTCATATATCATGTGGGGGCATAGGTTGTCCAAATTGTGAAATGGGGCTGTTGGGTAGCCTAGTGGTTAAAGCGTTAGCTCGTCACGGGTTCGATTCCCCACATGGGTACAATGTGTGCCCCCCACGATGATATTGCTAGAATATTCCAAATTATCGGCGTAAATCTAAACATCACTCAATCAATCAAGTAGTGAAACATAAGTGAACAGTACTGACAAAGAAGATGACTCGAACCAACGAAACTGGATATCTATATGGCTGTAACGCACTACATTCCAAATTCAGACTCACCTTACCGTTGAATAACATAATTTAGACAACATGTCCTATATTCCAATTCACTGTCAATGTGATTAGGTTGATATAACAATGGGTATAAATACCCTATTCCTACACTGAGAGTACCTACATACCTGTCGACCTCGCCTAAGGTGTATCAGCATCCTTACATTACAATGAGGATTAATTCGTATTGACTTCTCTTCCACGAAAGCATGTGTAACGTGATCGTTCGATAAGTGTCACAACGCCATCTATTGTAATGGTTCTCGTCGATAACTGTAAATTTATACAAGTAGTAACATGACTTGCATGAATGTGCACAGGCTGTAAAGTGGACTTAACTCGACTGCCGTACATTCACTACCGGTCATAGATCCGTCCGCGAGACAGCCCACCGTTTCTTGTATAGCGGACGTATGCGCTCTGCAGTCTTTGGTGAAGTAAGTGAGTATTGTTTTACGCCGCTTTTAGTAGGATTCCGGCAGTATCACGGCGGGGGATACCAGAAATGGGCTTCACACATTGTACCCATGTGGGGGAATCGAACCCTGGTCTTCAGTGTGACCAGACGGCCCACCCTTTCTTCTATAGCGGACGTATGCGCTCTTCGATCCTTGGTGAAGTGAGTGAGTGAATATGGCTTTACGCTGCTTTTAGCATCATTCCAGCAATATCACGGCTGGCGACACCAGAAATGGGCTTCATACATTGTACCCATGTGGGGAATCGAACCCTGGTCTTCAGTGTGACGAGCGGACGCCTTAACCACTAGGCTACCCCACCGCCCCCACAACATGGGGTCACCTCACATGCTCCACATCTATAGGTTAGAGTCTGGGTCCACCAGGCCATGACCAATTAGTTAACAAAAGGGGGATTAAGGTATAGTCTGTTACAAGACACAGGTAACAGTTGGTAAAACATTTAATAGTAGGAATATTTATATACAGTTTGATAGTAACCAGTGCAGGTGATATTCGTAGCACTAAGCATACAGTAAGACAATTTACAGTCCAACAAAATTTATCAGTGTTTAAGTATTCGATGGGTGTCTTGACACCAGTGATCAACAAGTTCTTCTCTTCTATGATTCTCTTACCAAGGCGGCGGTACTCAGATGTGGGAAAATGAGGTTAAACCGCCTTGGTGAAGAGCTTGGCCCAAATTAATTTAATGACCGTGAAACCGACCTGATCGGGAGCATCCGTAAAATCGCCCAAGCGTGATTGTTACAGCCAGTCGTAAATAAACAGGCTTCTCGTCACTTGAAAACTTCTCGTCACTTCTCGTCACGTTAAACCCAATTTCACCTCACCTCACCTCACCTCACCTCACCTCACCTCACCTCACCTCACCTCACATGTGCTTTGTTGTGGGGCAGGACTGTAGTCCTAGAAACTCAACTCATTGTGACCTGAGCTGTAAGCACAGGACCACACACATATATCAACCAAGCATGATCCTGTTAGTCGCCTCTTAGAACAAGCAGGTATTTCCTCACACTAATTCTAAACTGGGTCTTCACTGGTCGCCCTTCTGGGCCTGACCAATCAATAATGGATATTGCCATCAATGCTTTACAAGACAAATAGTGATGAAAGTTATATCACCTGGTGAAGATCAGTCGCAATACCAAACAGTTTTTCGAATTAGGATGTTGTAGCCACCACCCACAAAATTTGCATGAAAAAAGCTCGTGATTTCTGTCTGCTACCCCAAATAAAATTGGACACCACTGCCATGTATTTGCAAATGTAACATATGTTTTAAAAACGATATAAATGAAATAGTCTTGTGTTTCAAACGTTATCAAATATATACTTCCCATCAAAAGTTAAGACCCACTTAAACACTCACTATATGTTATGTGAGGTGAGGTGAAATTGGGTTTAACGTCGTGCTTGAGAATATTTCGCTCAAATGACGACGTGCATGCATGTGTATGTGTATGTGCGGCTGCTTGTACTAGCCCAGACTTAAGCTGGTTTTATAGTGCTAGCCCACTGAGATACCACGCCGCAGTGAAGCATGAATACCCCTCTCAGACACATTATACTGACTCCGAGCCGACCAGTCCTTGTTGTACCCATTGATGCCGAGCGCCAGGCAGGGACCAACAATTACCATATTTTAACGTCTTTTGGTATGACGCGGTCGGGGATCGAACCCGCGACCTTCCGCTCTCCGGGCGGACGCTCTCACCACTACACCACGGAGGCGTTACTACTTCACTGCTTAGCATCTGTTTCTTGGTAGACCTAAAAACTGAAACTCTTCTTATACATTCATCGCTATGATGTAGTTAATGCCAAATCAATATCTTTGCTGATACCAAAAACATTCCCATTGTGCTGCTTGTATCTACACATTAAAAATCAAAAACGGTTTTTTGAATTATGCATTTGTGTTTATCAAAGGTCACGGTATATATGACACATTCAGAGCCAGACAAATATACTTTAACAGTATGAACAAAACTTTTCACCGATCTAGATTCTAAGTGGATTAGCTGTAACTACCAAGATGTTCCAAGAGGTTCAACAGTACCATGTTGCTGAAAAACATCCCCTATTCCAGTGGTCCACGAATAGTGTAAAGAACTTCACTATCAGGTGTGGAAACAACCCACTGCCCGACGGCCCAGTCTAGTGTTTCTTTTCTATCGGGCAAGCAAATATGTATATCACGCTATACCGGTGTCCAGTTGACTTTCCAATGTTAATTATGTTGTTTATTTAAAAAATCAACAGGCAAATTTCAACGTTTTCTTTCGTTCATCGGCCTGTTCGCATTCGTAAATAATTCAGAGTTACCTTTCTTAGTTCCTAGCGCATGCGCATATCGTTTTTATACAAGCTCCTAACATCGACATCACTGTCCTAAAGGCACTTCTCACTTTAGGATTGATTATCTCAAATCACATAGTGCACCTGACGTTAATAGAGAATGTGATTTTTTTGACAAACACAACGTAAAATCACAACAAAGCGGGGCATCTAGCTATTAGGACACTGAAACGAACATTATGTTTTTTGTAGAAACTTACTGACCTCTCCTTGACAAAACATGGTATCGGAGTCATCGTTCTGAGAGATCGACTCATCAACCAGCACTTTCTTAAACACTCACGTGAAACATTTATAGAACAAGGAATGATCATAAGAAGAAATGACGGAATTACCAGTGACAAAAGCTGCAAACTAGATATATGATTATGACTTATGTGTTTGTGTTTGGTTTGGAATTATTTCAAACATAATGCCATCTGACACAAAATTAATAGGTAATCTGGTGGATGAGCAAATAAACGACACATTATTTCCAATCTCTTTTAATAGTCAAGTAGTTAATAAGAAAGTCATATTTAATTATAACATCTTTGCAAAGCCCCGTGGACCCTAGTATGGTGATCTACCTTCACTTGTTGGCAATGTATAGCCTGTTTTTATATTGTCTTGTCATGCATAGTATATATAATGTTATATAGTTTATATAATGTTGGGAAAATAAGATATTCTGATGTTTTTTATGTAAAACCAGGGATAATCTACAACATTATATAGTCTCCCTGGTAAAACGCATGTAACTTCTTATTATATTTATGAATGTATTTTGGGCGAGTGGACTATTACTGAATAAATGTCTGTCTGTCTGTCATGCATAGTTGAAATATTTTAGATTTAATTGCTAGTTTTGAATCTATATCTGTGATAATCTAGATGCTTTAGTGTCCTTCGTGGACAGGTTTTTATAATTAACCTATAATTAGTATAAATCTACAACTTGATTTAGTCACGATATGGCTGAAATACTGCCGATGTGACTAAAAATCTTAACTCACTCACTCACTCATT